CTGTATAGAAACAAGGAAGTTTAACAACCAAGCTACTTTCTAAGGATAAATTATTTTAAAAACACCGTAAAAAAGTTTACACGAGAAATATATTTATAACTTCGATAGTTGTTGAAAAACTGACGCACGTTCAACTCACCTAGGAAACACCAGTCTCCTCATGGTTACAGATACGCCTTGTGGATAAGTGCCAAAAATCGCGTAACCTAGGACCAGGGTTCTCTGTCGACTGTTGCTTGACATCTAAAAACTGACTTCTAGTTAATCTTTAACGTTTTACGGCACTCCTAAGAACATCTTTGAAATTTAAGTAGTATTCAACATATTCTACGAAATTTTGCACCGCATAATTTCTCCAAACTGTAGACTGTAGTCTGTTGATACCAATTTCATTCCTCAAAGCAATTTGTTATCAGATTCACATTGTATAGTTGGAATTACTTGAATCAATGTTATTGAAATGCATTTACATAAAGTGGTTAACCAGACCGGAAATCATGAAGAAATTTACACCTATTAACAATGATATTTTAAACGGATGGATTAAATAAACTTTATGAAGATAGAAATTTTATGATTTCTCTAAATTTCTAGGGAAATAAAATACTATACATTTAATAGATGGAAAGATATTCGGTTCTTCGAAATGTAGTTCCCACTTTAAATCAATATCAGATAGATGGTCAAAAGAAATGAGAGGGTACTCAACAGATCTTTCTTTCTAGCCTACCACTATATAACAGTAAACAGAGCTCTTCAATGCTGTTGTTACTGTTCTCATAAATCCTCTGTTTTTTTCTCATTCTTTTACTAATACTACTGGCACAACTACTATTACTACTACCAAGTTGTATCATTTTCCGTTGAAGTTAGAGACTGTAGGAAAGGTTATAACCAACCTTTTGTAGAACGACACTGTCTACATTGATCTGTCACCGCATATGGATGACTATAGCTGTCACATCTTTAGGAGGGATTGAAGACTGAAGGTCACATATCTTAACATGTTTCAGCATCAGTTAAACCTATAAGTCATGTCATACACCAGGTTAGCTTCTAGGATAGAGAACTCAAAGAAACATGTCTCCAGACTAAGAGCTTCAGAAAGTGGAAGGGTTTATGAGTGCGACTTCTCAAACTGCGACTACAAAACGATTCTTCGAAGAACTATCAAGTCTTCTCTGATTTTTGTTGATGGTTTCGGCAACAGGCGTCTGTGAGCAAACTGTTTTTAGAAAATTCTATCATCTTAAAAGTATTTCCATTGTATCAACTGCGATTCGTATGCATCATGTAACCCTCACCCTTACTTCGAAGGCAGTTTTCATCATGGATTTCTATCAGTCAGATAACCATCTACGTCATCTCATCGAGAGGTAGAACTCATGACCCCATTTGGACCAAGACCACCAGGTCTCACAGCGAAAACGTGACCATTCATCCACTGAGGTTAAAATTCAACGGTCCTACTTCTATTAGTGTGTTAAGTAGTTCGACCTTAATTCAGTGTCCTGTAAGCATATGTTCTTATATTCGTATCGGTTAACTTCAGGGCTCACTGCTTCTGAATAAAACTTTGGAAAGCAAGCTACTGAACACTACTGGTTTGTTATCCCCTTCTATCGAAAACGATATATATAACTTTTTTCATGCTTTTAAACATAACAGAATTTTATTTGATAATATTAACAATAACACCGACAGCTGAGATCAAAGCAGTTCAGTTTTTCTCCAAATATTCACTCATTGTTAATGACTAGGTAGCATCAACACAAGAAGTAAGAATATTCGTGTTTTCGGTAAAATATCATTGCATAATGGTACTTCCGTTAGTTTTTAATTAATAGAAAGAGCTACTTCTTTCTTGACTAATTAAAACTGATGTTAGAAAATACGGTTGATAATAGTGAATTTGTGTCAACTGATTTTTGAAGACAGTATTAACCTGAAGGTTGTTTTTTGGTCATGGACTTACGAATTGAAGTTAAAGACAGATAGTTACTGATGATATTGGAGGATGGTTACACAGTTCTGTATGTTTATAACAGTTATAAAATATGAGACACTGGATCCCAGGTCACTGGTCGAATAGCAACGTAGTGACTGTGAACGTCAACAGACTTAGACTTGGTTATGTATGTGGTTATGTGGGTGTACTCCTGGACAGCTACAAAGTGGGCCGAAACAGCTATCCAGTATTTGTTCGTCTTTAACTATTCTGTAAAATAAGAGAGCCGCTTGAATCGCCATTAGTCATTTTCATCACCAACAATAACCAATTTCACCTGTCATAAGTTGACTACGCAGAGGTCAACCTTCACTGAATGATACTGAACGTCAGTTTAGACATTTGTTCAACCTCAGTAAGATGTTGATTTCATATAATCAAAACAACAGTAATTCGAATTTACGTGTTGAAGGTTCATTTACAACGAAATCAATACCGGGGTTATTTTGCTAAAACTGCATGATAATTATCAGATCCAAATTCACGCTAATTACTAGTACACCCAGTCAGACTGAAATCAGACAGCTTATCTGATCATAGGACCTAATTATGATGTTAATCATTAGGCTTATGTTTAGCGCTTACTCAGTATGCCACTCGATGTCATTAGACTTCATACATATTGTGGGGTGTGAGCCGAGTATTGAGCTATTCCAAAGCCAGAAGGAAATTGAAGTTAAATATTGCCCGGTACTTATGGCTTTGTAGCTGACATCTAACCGTGTCAATAATTACTTTATATGCTAAATTCTGGGTACAATTACTCTCAATCGAATTTAGCAACTATTAACTATCATAGTTCCAACTTTTCACGGAGACTGACAACTGAAATGCAAGATATATATATATATATATATATATATATATATATATATATATATATATATATATATATATATATATATATATATATTTGTGAAAACAGTTTACTTGAGTAAGAAAGTATATTCCACTCGAAAACTGAAATCAGATATCTTCAACTAAAATAAAACAAAGTTCTGTTTCTCTCCTTGAACGGGTAATCAATCATTCATTAAGATTCAGACTGCACATTGAAATAAAGTTCTTCATTGATATTTTCAGTGCATCGTTTTGGCACGAAATATTAAGTAAGCGGAATTTTGTTTAGTAACGGTCATAAAATGCATTAAGTTAGTTCAAAATAATCGAAATGTTAGATGGGAAGAATAAAGTTAATTATTCAGAACTATTCTCGAATTTATTACTGTATTACCTCCACAATTCGGTCATCATCGAGTAACTAATGAGGCTATCTAGCCGTTAGTGCTCAGCACTGACTGAAGTCGAACGAAGACGAAGCTAAGTGATGCTATATTGCGGTGTATATTAATGAGGAAATAAGTGGTCATTCGGTGATTCGAACCTCGATCAGAAATAAGTTATTGAGCTTGATGGTGTAGTTTCTGACTTCAAAACTCAGTGACCCAAGTTCCAATCGCTGAGGAAACATTAGTTTCCTCACAGTTGCACATACACATTACTACTGATGAGCCCTGACAAGCATGGAACCTTGGTCCAAGACATTCGACAAAACAAATATATGCTTAGTGGTACAACTGGTGATTTTTTGTGACATCAAAAAGGAACAAATGTAGGCACAGAAATTCAAGTATATGGTTGATACTTCCTTCAGGTTACTAACAATCAATCACGTCAAAAACTATCATCACTGTACATTGTTTGACACATCATAATAAAATACTTCGGACGCATTCATAGTGGTTCCACTCAATTTCAAACGTCAGAGGAATTTTTCCTACTTTTAAAGATGAAGGAATACTCGAATTAATTATCATGCAGCAGACACACAGTCCGCAAGAATACCACTGGGTATCATTTGTATAATGCGTAAATCACGCCTATCTTTTGTATGAATGCCTTTTCAACCTCCAAACTGCGATTTCGTTAGAAAACATAATGAAGATAAGCTGACGCAAGACTGCATACAATGATTACTTTAGGTCAAAGCTAATCAAAGTGGAATTAATGAGGTATGCCGTTATGAACGCTTGAAATATTCAACCAGCTTACTGTTAATCGGAACAGCTAAGTTACTACAACCACGATCCCCCACACTCATGGATTAGATAACCCTCATTAAAACAAAACACTATAACGTACTGAATAGAAATCATTGGTATTACCAAATTCAGTCAGTGGAAGGAAATGAACAAAAACAGAACAACAGGTTCAAAACACATAAGGAAAATGATAAGAAGAAGGGGGTCATATTTACACACATTTATATGTTTTATTTTATCCGATATTGATAGTTATAATAGTAACAATAATAGTAGTAGTATTACTGATAGAATTATTAGCAGTTGTTCATTGTTATTTAATAAGTATTTATAATAAAATCAGTAAATTTCAAACACAATATGTCTGTTATATAATCCGTCAACTATGTACAACACATCATCACCAACATAGTCATTGGGATTCAGGAATCAAGGGAAGCGATGATTGATGAATTAGTTGGTCTTCTGATCACGTTTACTTTCATGACGACCAACTGCTCAAGCTGTTTTAGCTCACTTTCCATATAAAAATGATTTGTAGAAAAAGTACACTTCTTCATAGGGTGTATAACGGTAAATAAAATTTTCTACCGATGGTTACAGTAATACTGCTGAAGGGTTAAGAATAACCTCACCTGATAATAAAGTATACATTTGTAATATGTAAGCATGTGCAATTGCTTTCGTTTGTGCTAGAATGTCTTCTTTAGATGGGAGCAAGGGGGTTAATAAATCTTATATTAAAAGAGTATCGATGTTAGAAAGACATTTTATAATTGACGAATTCAATGCATTATTATCATTTCGATTATCAAAAAGAGAAATGAAAAGAAACATGCCACTCACCTGATTGAAAATGAGCAAGTATTCAGGTGTTAATTCTCTCCATTTATAAATAAGTGTGTATACGTGCTGTCTAAATGCATTTGATTCAACTGTTCAACTGTGTATTACTGATGTGATGAAGGATAGATAAATAGACTGTCAGTAACACTACAGGGATTGCTTATACAAGTAGTATTCTTGGTGTGCATAAAAATATTTGAAATCAATGCCGAGTGGTCAGAGTTATAACCTTCTATACTCATTCCAATGCCAGGAGTATAGTTCGTTAGATCATCAACACAATTAGTAGTGATAGACGATGTATCATTCAGTACACCACTTTGATCAATATTTTCATGGTATGTAGGTGTTTCATTTGAAGCTATTTGACCTGTGGAACCAGTCGATAAACAAGGTAATTCTAATCGTGAATTATAATTCATTAGATCGTGAGCATAACCATCATGTATTGCACTAGATGACATAACATTTGAGTGTTGTTGATTAAAATTTAGATTAGACAGCATGAACGAATTATTTGTCGTTTGTTCCGTAGGTACGTAGTCCACAATTGAGCTGTCCCCTGAATGCCCGTCGTTGATTAATCCACTAGGATCACATACTGGATTATTCGGTGTATAAAATGATTTCAATTGTAAACCCAAGAATCCATTAGCTGTATTACTATTGTTACTATTTCGAATTACACTGTGATTATCTGGAAATATATGTGGATATTTCTGTAGGAGATTATCTGGATTAAATAAATTCTGTTTTGTATTATGAAATGGTAGATTATGAAGTAATGTACTGCTGTAAGAAGGATAATGTGAGGGAAATAACTGATTTGAATTACTTGCACAAAAGTGGAATGTAGTGATGGAAGTAGCGCAGAAGATGTGGGTAATGAAGATGAAGAACAAGACGATATCCCGTGTAAATTATGAACTGAATTGACTGATGACTGATCATTGATAAAATTACAATTGAAATTAATCGGAGTCAGCGATTGATTAAGACGACGTCTTGAACGTTTTATTGAATTACGCTTCAATGATTGGTTGTTGCATACATCTAATTGGTTTTCATTTTCAAAAAAATTCTGTTCACTTTCTAGAATATTTTCAGACTTTCTATAATCAGCATCACTTTTTGAATCACTTGATAATTGATGCTTGTCCTGTAAATGATTACCAGTTTGTTTCTCTTTAATGACACCATTAAGGTGATCACCGTTATGACAAACACCAGTTCCATGACTTTCCTCTTCAACCAAGTCGTTATCTACTTCATCTTCCTCCTCTTCTCCATCTGCCTCATCATCATCATCATCATCATAACTGTCGTCATTATTCATACTTCCACAAGTACTATCTTCGTTGGAATTCAATCCCGAACCAAGTAGTAAAGGGTTCAGTCGTTTCTGTTTTTGCCGTCGATTACAAAACCATACACGTACAACCTCTTTCTCCAAACCCAAAACATCAGCTAATTGAATAATATCTTGTGCCAATGGTTTTGGTTGTTTAATGAAGTGATTCTCAAGTATACCTTTAACACCAATTTCTATGCTAGTACGCTTTTTACGTTTACGTCCTTGTGTTGTAATCTTATCAAGATTATTTGTTGTACCAGTTGAACAGTCTGCTTCATGCAACCATTTTTGTAATAAAGGTTTCAATTTACACATATTTTTAAAAGATAATTGTAACGCTTCAAACCGACATATAGTTGTTTGACTAAATACATTCCCGTACAGTGTGCCCAAAGCTAGACCGACATCAGCTTGTGTATAACCTAATTTAATTCTACGCTGTTTAAACATTTTAGCAAATATTTCTAAGTCATCCGCTGAGGGATACTCACCAGTTCCAGGAATTATTGCATTATTAGTACTATTATTATTGTTGTTATTGTTATTATTACCAGTGTTATTTACCAGAACAGTTGTATTTAAACTTTCATTACTTCTAACACCTTGAAGGTAATCCATTCCACTCATGGTCACTCCTTCATTGAATCCAGGTAGTTGTGATAGAATGCATGTGGATGATGATGGTGAACATGATCCTGTTATATTCATTAATTCATCTGACGTCTCTGAGTGGTGTTTTCCAGTAGAATTAAATAATTTACACTCATGAATTAAACCACTTGTCTCAGCTGTTGAAGTACAAGCAGAGGATGTAATCAACTGAATTGATGTCGGTGGTAGTACTATATGCTGTAACATTCCACTGAATATACTTGATGATGCTGTCGGTAGTGTAGACAATGAATGTGAAGACTCAAATGATGTATGATCATGTAATCCAGGTGTTGAAACTGGTATCGAATTATTATGGGAAATGCTATCTTTAAAATCTTCTGAATTTCGACTACAAACTAGAGAAGTGAATAAGTAGGATGGTGGTTCCATGAAATTTGGATTGATGTGCAATAGTTTATTAAACTGATGTTCACCGTGGTGTGAATCTTGATTTAACCTTTCATTATCATTTACAGTTATAACTGGTGTGTTATTATTTATCTCAGTGTTACAATTATTCATCTGAGTACCACTAACCATCGTATCAGTGGTACCACCGATAGAGTTTGTCGTAGTGGTATTGTTGGCAATATTACTATTATATACACTCATCAGTTCATTCACATGATTCATAATCATCATATTTGAAGATTTCCATTCGTATTTATGAAAAGCTGATTCAGCGTTTGAATCAGGCAGATTATTCAAATTGGTTAAATTTAATAGGTTAACTTGTTGGTTATAATTATCTGATTCCTGATCGTGTTCACCTGACTGGTTATACATTGACTGTTGAATCAGGTTCGTATGTGGTGATAAGTAAGCAGTATCCGTTAGAGATGAATCAAAATATTCTGTTCTGCTTATACGACAGTTTTGATCACCTAGTCTTGTAGATGAATTGTCGAGAAACTGTGGATTTACATGACCATCTAGTTTCCATGAATATAATGCTGTCTTCATTGAAGTCGCGGAGTTCTCAACTGTTGTTGTATTTCCTGTTAGTGATGGTGACAACGATATCATATGATTAGTGTTTGGGTGTATAGATATCTTATGATCTCCCCACTCATTTGATGGTACTGGAGATAAACAATTAGGATTATCAGAGAAAGTCATCCCACTTAAATGTTCATGTTGATTTATTGATGTGATTAGTGATGATGAGTTTACTGGGGAAGATATTGTTGTCACAACTGTTGAAATTGATGAAAAGGAGTTATGATCTATATAAAGCTCATCTGCTGTCACTCTTATCTGATCTGTTTTTGCATTAGAATTAGGTAATCTGTTCATAAATGCCATTTTATTCATAGATGTATTAGTTAAAACAAATAAGTTATCATTGAAATTTGAATAATTTGATATGTTATGAGAGGGAGGTTGTACAAATGTCTGAATTCTATTAACTTCTGTTGAATTTTGCATTGAGTCTTGATTGCTTAGATACGGTGACTTCACTGGACAGTATGAAGCATTTCTCCACTGTTCTACATCTTTGCCCATATTCGACTCATGTACATAGTGGGACTTTATTCTCTCGTAATAATTAATTTGGTGACAACGATTATGGTGATCCGTATCTATAAAATTATTGATTTCATTGATCTCTTGTGGATTTATTACAGACTGTTCTGATCTTTTCTGGCCAACTTCATCAGCCGCATCGCAAGGAAATAAGTGACTTGGATGAGGTAAGTTATCCTGTCGATTACTTACTACAGACTGAAATGATAATAAATCTTGATTACAAACTCCAGAAGATAAAATATTTTTATGAATACCTAAATAACTTTGATTTTCTTGATTAAAGTATCCAGTATTGTTGTCGGTATTGGCATGTTCCTCTACCTGGTGTTTTACAGAAACATTATCTCTCCAGTCCATGGATAATTTCGGATCAGACCTTTGAATATCAACATCATTTTCAGTATTACGTAATTCAGCATAAAATGGTACAGTTCTTTTCTCTTGTAAACTAGAATTTACTGATGTAGAGCATAAAGGAAATCCTGAGAAAGTTAATAACTGGTTATCATAGATAGATTTCGAACTAAATGCTTTCTGACAAGTTGGGTCTTCAGGTAACCAAAGGGGATTTGACTGACACTATCAGAGTTAGTAGCACTATCATTATCCTTGTTAGTATCACGATTCAAATTCATATCACCACCATGATTCAGTGTGTTACATATTAGAAAATCTTCATTGAAAATACTTTGAGCTAAGGATGTATTTACTTCTGAACTACTTCTTGTTAAAGGTAATAATAACGATCGATGTTGTTGAGTTAAACTGTCGTAAGGATTATTCGGATGATTGGACCATATTTGATCATTAATACAAGTTGGATTGATCAGTTTGTTATTGGAATTTGTAACTAACACTTGATCTCTTGTTGAATGTCTAAGACGATTGCGTGTTCCTGTTCCGCGTTTATTATTTTTATTCACTATTTGTAGATTTTTACTTTGATATTGATTATAAGTATTATGATCACTGCTATTAGTAGTAGTAATAGTACTGTCCGACTTAAAATTGTTTAAAGAGTTTGTTAACGCACATAATGGCGAATAGTTATATGCTAGAGAGCATGCACTTTCTAGGAGGGATAAAGGATTTGCTTCACAAGGACATTCTTCACTAGTGTTAGTATTGTTCATATTTGATGAGTAAAGATTTGTTTTTGTTACATTTGTAATAAGATTTGTAGTCACTGCTGGTGTTGTTGTTCCCATTGATGTTGCTTGAATGTTGAATAGATTCAAATCGGTGTGTTGAAGTAAATTAATTTCCTCATTATTATTATATCGTTCAATCAATCGATACGTGGAAGATGTTGTTGATGATGATGATGATGATGATGATGACAGAGGTGGCGAAAACAGAGTTGATGACTGAGATGAAACTGATTCTGTATGCGTAATATTCAAATTAGTCCGATATGTTCCCATCACCTCTTTCTTGATTCATTCATTTATTTAAGAAGGGTGTATGTGTATTTTATTTGTGTGTATTTATGGTGTTAGTCGTAGTAGTAATTGTCTGTAGATCTATGAATAGGTCGTTTACAATGATTTATGCAACAATTGAACAATGAACGCAAAAAAGCCTGAATAAATTATATAATATTTCCGAGTGTTCTGAGAATTTCTATTGAACGAGCCTATAAGCCTATAAGGTATCGGAAAGAGTATTTACTATAGATTGTGAAACTTATTAAATACAATTTGGCTCTTCTTGATTCACTGGGGTTGACTAGTGTTTGGTTGATCTAGAAAGAATGTGAGTAGTTAGTGCACAGGCTTATTTGTCATAGGCAGGCAAGAAGACCGACAAGCATACAGATGATACGCATAAATAGACGATAAATTGGCGGCTAAACTTTGTAGAATTTAGCAGCAGAGTGAGAGAAAGAAAGAAATATATAGAGTGATTCTCTACCTACATTTGATTGGTCTATTTCTATGCAGAACAAATGACATTTGTGTATATCCATCACCTAGACAGTGGATTTACGCATATCATTAAATATACAATATAGAGGGAGGCTGAAATCATAAACGATTATAGAGAGGGGGGATTAACCGAATGAAATAACACTGCCTTTTAGCCACCCAGTATACAAATAGATAAACCGGAAAGTGATTGGACAAATATTAGCGATGAGTGAAAACACTTACGGAGGTGAGAAGAACTATAAAGCCTAGCTAGTCTTGTGAAAAAATATATAACTAACGCACTCATGAAGAGACATAGTGTGATGAAAAGAATCAATGTTCAGTGCGGCGAAGTGGACTAAAACCAAATGACATCTGGAAATCGACAGTCAAAATGCATATCGTGAATGCAGATTGGTTAATAGGATGAAATTGATTGTAGGAAAAAGAGGAAAACAGCTTTAGATGTTTATTTCTCCTTGCTTTTATATGTAACATATGTATTGATCAACTCAGCAGTTAGGTTTGCTTTGGTAGTAAGGAGATTTATTCTATACAGGAGAGAATTCTCTGCATATATATATATATATATATATATATATATATATATATATATATATATATATATATATATATATGCACAAGTGTTTGAATAACAT